ACACCCTGCAACTACAATCCCTGCAGAGAGTGTAGGGGACAGAACCACCCAGCTAGGACAGGAGCAGAACATCTTGCCAGAGGGACACAACAGGTTCACCCCCAAGGACAGCAGCAGGAAGGAACTGAGCACAGCAGCCAGACACAAACCAGATGCAGCTGGATAAGTCCAAACTTTGTAGATCTGCACCAGAACTTCAGTAGGTGCTAAGGTTAGAGCTCTACAACAAAGGTCAGAAGACAGTGCTACACAAAATAACAAGAAGGAACAAAATGCAACCTCAGACCCCAAGCCCACCCATAACAAGTGCAGAGGACACTAGCACAGAACAAATTGGGAATCACACAGCTGAAAGCAATGAATCAACGGCTTCTGAAATAAACAAACAGCTGCAGAAAGCTATAGAGGAACTCAGAATGGAAATGAAAAAAGAAATCCCTGAATTAATAACACCTAGTACTGCCCATAAAAGAATGGGAAGCCCCTCATTTAATGGCCCGCACCATGAACAGTAGGGGCGGCAAAGGCACATTTTTGGTTCATATCTTTTAAAGACAGTATTTACTGTTGAAAATATAAAAAATGTATCAGATTTTCTCAATTTGAGTGAGAAGAGACAAAGTATGTTGAAATTATAAACCACCTTGGCAAAGTGCCACTACCTGCTGCTGCTTCGCCGAGCAGCTGTCCCCAGAGAAGGATAAGCCTCCCTGGTGCTGTGCTCGTGACCCTGGCCCAAGCCTCAGGGAGGCGTGAGGATGAACTGCAGTGGGCTGGTGTCAGAAGCGGGGGAGACTGCATGCAGGTGGCCCTTGAGCTCAGAGGAGAGCCAGGGCTGGTACACAGCCCTCGCCTCTTGACCTCCTGTCCCTGAACACCCTCCTGCTGAGGAGCTGGCTTTGCCTCGTGTTCCCAGGGAACACGTGAGCAGAAAACTGCTTACCATGCACACACCGTCTGCACCGGCATGCAAACACATGAGGGCCCCGTGGGACCTGTGACACCGGGACTTTTCTGCAGCCTTAGCTCCAGGCCAAAGTGCTCCCACCCGCCCTGAAGCACCTCTTCCCCATTGCTCCCAGAGGGGGCCAGCCTTCGAGGCTCCAACTGTGAGCCAGTCCAGCTCAATACGTGAGACCAACAAGCTCAGCACCACAGCAGGGGCCCTCACCCCATGGACGCAGGCACCAGCCCCAATTTCTGTAGAAACAAATTTCTTGAGGCCTCTAGGGCATGAAGGGATGCAAGGAAGGCCAAAAACACCCTCATGGTGCTACCTGCAGAATAAAAGTATATTGGGCTGGGGATACAGCTTGGCGGTGGTGTAAGCGTCTGCCTAGAAAGCACAAAGACCCGAGTTAGATCCCCCAGGACTACACGTGGTGCCAGCTGCGGCATGCCCACACCAAAGCTAGGCATGGTGGCGCACATCTGCAATCCCAGCCCTGGGAAGCTGAGTCAGGAGGGTCACTGCAAGTCTGAACTGCATAGTGAGACCCTGTACCAAATAAATAAATAAATGTTTTTTTAAGTGTGCTTCTCTCCTCTGTACCACCAAGAAAATAACACAACCTTATACAGTCTTAGGCTTTTTCAGAGATAGATAAATTTAGAGTTTTTGATTGATTCAAGGTCCAGTGCTGAGGTTCAGCACGTGAGTGCCACTCCAGCCCTACACTTCACCTCCTCTTGCTTCTGCTGTCTTCCATTGCCAAGAACTGTTGCCCTTCTGCCATGTGCCACCCTGTCTTGGGGCCAGCGGATTAGGGACTGAAACTTCCATAAACTGTGAGCTGAAGAAACCTTTCCTCCTTTAATCTCAAGCACTGGATGCTTTGTTTGAGCAATGAGACTAGTAACTAAGACAGAATTTGGTGCTGGAAGTGGGGCCAGTGCTGCCCCATTGCCTGGTGAGATGACTTATGAGTCTTGGGAATTAATTTGAAAAGGCTTTGAGAGATTGGCCAACGAAGCAGTCCCTGTACACAGTAAACTACATCGAAGACTCCAGTCAGGGCTGGAAAATCACAGCACTGATGGAAATGCTGCAGGTTAGGGGGAGGCTCAGGGGGCTTCTGCTGAGAGGCACTGCGCCGGCTGCAGACCCAGGGCGTGTTGTGCATCGGGAGGGAGTTGGCCTGCACTTTGCTTGTGTAGAGATACTGCCTGGAAGAAAATTTCAATGCAGTCGACTGTTGTGATGGTGGCACGGTTACTGTTGAGCATTTCTGGCTGGATCTATGTTCCAAATTAAGAGCAAAGAGCCAGCAGGATGACTTGAAGCATATGGCCAGAGAGAAGACTCCAGCGGAGCTGCAGATTCCAAAGATGAACCAGAGGAGAAAAAACAAGTAAATAAATTTTAAAAAAGAAACAGAGAACATGGTTGTTGAGAAAGAAGAGGACAATGAAAAATGACCTAAGGCCTTTCACCAGGAGGGAAGAGCGTACATGAAATGCAGGCGATCCCATGGTGTGTCTTAGTCCTGCCAGCCCCTCTTGCTAAAAGTTAACAGGAAGCAAGAACTGAGTCACATAATAGCTCTCAATAGGATTTAATGTCGTTTTTAGAAGTATGTTTGTAATCAGGTTAGTCAAAGTATTATCATGTTGACCTTGAATTTTGGACAGCCTTTGAATGTTTTGCTTCGGTGAGGCAATGAGTGCCACAGGAATTATATATATGTAATTGTTACATTAGTGTAAACCTGAATAGATCAGGACACGTTAACTTTTCTAAAGCTGCCAATGAAGACTGTGATTTAAGGAAATGTGTCCCATTACCACGGTTCTGGGTACAGAGGGCCTACCTCAGGACTGCTGCCAGAGCATAAACGCGGAACTGGAGGACAGCGTGGTGTACTGTTCAGTCTCTTGGAGAAGCCTGTCACACTGGCTTCCACCTGTTTTCATCACTGCTTTTCCTGAGGGAACTCACTTCCGCTAACAGTCCTCTAAGGATGTCACATGTTCCACATGAAGTAGAGCTACCGAGGCACAATGAGAGGTCTCCTACCTACTACCACACAGGCCACAGCAGCAGGGAACCTGGTTAATGTGACAGTGTTGCCTTTGTCACTCTCTGGACCACAGAGAGCCCCCTAAGAGCTGGTCTCTCTTCGTCATCTCCAGTTAGAGGTCAGTGGAAATGCTGTGGAGCAAGCATGTGCAGGCTGGAGCGGATAGGAGGAGCGCCACGTCCCATGCGGATAAGAGACCCTTCTGCGGGGGCCAGAACAGCTCCCAGTTCCTGGTGGGTGGACAGCAGCGACCATCAGTGACCCAACAGCGTGGGCACACAGCACAGAGTGATATCAGTCCCCTCAATGGGACAGGTCTTATAGGTAGATAAGAAAACTTTACCCAACAAAAGCTAGCATCCCCCTCTGCCACACCATACTTGAGTTGTCCTGTTGCTGACTTTCCACCAGTGACAGAGATCACAGGATCTTCTCTTAGAACAACACCCCAGGATGCTAGAAGGGGGCAGGAAGGATGACTGTGTGGAGGAAGTGGCTCTTCCTGAGGAGGCTCAGGCAGACTCCTCTAGATGCAAGAGGAGGCAGGAGTATGGTGTCCCTATCAGAGGACCCACTGTGAAAATTTAATTTAATTTAAT